ACCGCCTGTTTCTTTTCCCCCTGCCACCTTCTCCACCACCACTGTCACCACCTCTTCCACCAACTGATCCCACCATTGCCACCTCCGTCACCTCTACTTTGACGATTTTTTTTGTATGACTGCTGATGAGCACAATCAACAGTCATATGGACTGTTGATTGCTCATCGGTTGCTGATTGTGCACATTCATAGTTCATAGGACTACTGATTGTGCTCATCAGCAGTCCGTACAATTGTTGATTGTGCATACATGCTAATTTCGATATATATATATATATATATATATATATATATATATATATATATATATATATATATATATATATATATATATTAAATCTTTTGTTTAGCTTAGATATGTCTTAGATGCACCGTCTGGAGAAATTTTTGGTGTTGAAAAATGATGAGTTTATTATGAATTCGCAACTTCACACACTTGTTTTAGTTCTCACAATAACTCGGTCATATATATATATATATATATATATATATATGTGTGTGTGTGTGTGTGTGTGTGTGTGGAGATAGGAAATGTCGCACCCTTTTGAGAAGGTTGGAGAACCACATCCGAGCAAGATCGGACGCATGTCACTTACAAGAGGAAAGGTGTTCATTGGGGGGGGGGGGGGGGGCACTATATGGTTGCAACCATGTTCTTTTTGGCTAACATTCCAAACGGATCGAATATAATGTTATGGAAGATTTTTCAGAACTTGAAAAGAAGAAGGATAGATTGGGTAATATCTTTGCATTCATGAGATTTATAATGCATTGAAAATTGAAATATGAGAGAAAAGAAAATTCAAACAGGGTGAGAATGAGTGGAAACTTCTCGGAGTCAGTATAGCTAACATTCCAAACGGATCGAATATAATGTTATGGAAGATTATGGGGGGGGGGGCACTATATGGTTGCAACCATGTTCTTTTTGGCTAACATTCCAAACGGATCGAATATAATGTTATGGAAGATTTTTCAGAACTTGAAAAGAAGAAGGATAGATTGGGTAATATCTTTGCATTCATGAGATTTATAATGCATTGAAAATTGAAATATGAGAGAAAAGAAAATTCAAACAGGGTGAGAATGAGTGGAAACTTCTCGGAGTCAGTATAGCTAACATTCCAAACGGATCGAATATAATGTTATGGAAGATTATGGGGGGGGGGGGGCACTATATGGTTGCAACCATGTTCTTTTTGGCTAACATTCCAAACGGATCGAATATAATGTTATGGAAGATTTTTCAGAACTTGAAAAGAAGAAGGATAGATCGGGTAATATCTTTGCATTCATGAGATTTATAATGCATTGAAAATTGAAATATGAGATAAAAGAAAATTCAAACAGGGTGAGAATGAGTGGAAACTTCTTGGAGTCATTATAGCCCATTTTAGTAGGAGGAATTTGGACCAAATAAGAAGTTTGTACCATTTATAAAGGTTATAGCCTTATAGGTGTTGGTGATTAAAAAAAAACAAATCTACTCTCCATGCCCCTCCTTCCAAATCAAAAATTCAGTTTCATTGAGCATCCTCTGTTATCATCGATTTGCTATTGTTATGAAACTTCATTCATTTATTGGTTTTTAATCTTCTTGATCAGTATCGGGTTAGTATTCAATATCGATTATTGTTTATGATTTTAATGAATTTGTTGTTCATAATTTTTAATTACAAACATACATTTAGTTTCTAATGGTTGTTCATAACACTTTTGTTAAAGAAAATAACAACTAAGATCGATATTGTTTTTGAAGCTTACCACAAAGAATCAAGATTATCTCATCTATGCTATCATTTTACTTCCATCATAACTATCTAATTCGTTAATTACTAGATTTCTTAATCTGATTTTTACTTTTACTAAAATGATAAAATCCCCCTCCATTTCAATTTAGATGCTCAATCTCCAGTTCAATCAAACGCAACCTCAGTCCACAAGATCACGCACATAACATCTTTATATTAGATTACAAAACTCACATCTTAAAACATTTAGACAACTAAACATAATCCACAGCCGCTGCCACATCATCATAGCCAAAACAGGCCGAGTCAGTCTTTTACACACATTCGGCAACATTTATAAAAATAAAAATTCAAGTATATCTTTTATTCTTCCAAACTCACGCCCACAAAAAGGCCATAACATAAAATAACACAAACCACATTAAGCCGAAGGCCCAGCAACCCGCATAGGCCCCGTTTTCCACTCAACCGCTTCACCACAATGCCCGCCCGTAACCCCTGCCCGACCCACATCAACCCTTGCCCGATCAAACCCACCACCAATTTCGGTTTCCGTTTCGGTCAGAGCAGGAGAAGTTCGGGCAGCGACGGCTTTCAAGCGATAACGTTCTGCCCGAGACCCGATAACCTGCCCGAGAACCGAGGCGGCGATTGTAAACGCCATGGCGGATTTTGGCATTAAAACCGACTTTCTAAGCATGGCTATAAAAGGAACAGCTGCATGAACAGCTGCAAACCAAGAAGGTGAGAATTTCTTTGTGTGTTCTCTCCATATACCTAAAGGGACATTAGCTGCCATTCCCATAACCCCGATTACAAGCACTTTTGCGGGCAGGGGTTGCGGTCTGAGGTTTTTTGCAAACGCGGTGCGCGCTAGGGCAGCGCGGGCAGCTACAATTGCGGGCGGGCAGGTGTATTTTATCCCGGATGGTGGTTTCAATGCTTTGGCTACAAGTGGGATGACATGGCTTACTGCTCTGTATGATTTTGCAATTGGACAATTCCCACTTTTTAGCCATTCTTCTCCTGTTGCTTCATGTTTCGAGTCTCCATTCTGAGAAGAGTCTTTCTTATGCTTTCTTTGTTGATTCTTAAACATTTCGTTAAATGCATCAAAACCAAATGACCCTCCAAAACTTGAAAGACTAATAGTAGCTGCCTTTGCTGCTAAAGGATTAAACTGGTGAGACATTGATTCCACTTTCACTTTTTGGGGAAACTGCAATGATCCTTCAGAAAGTGGGACAACACCATTTTGTCCATGGAAAAGCCTAAAAGCCATATCAAAATTGGGCCCATCCTCGAATATAGGACCTTTTGTTCCTCGGGCCTGATTAAAAGATGAGATTAGGTTGAGGAAAGATAGGGAATGATGTTTTTTTTTTAATTTGATGTGAAATTGTTTGGATTGATATTGAAATGAGAAAACTTACAGGTGATGGGAAAGCCATGGATGATGAAAAGGAGAAGTTAGTTGGTTCATTAATGTTGCGCAAAAATGGGCACCGAATGATGTCATTCTGTGAAGGTGAAGATTCGTCAGCCATGTTTCTACAGAAAAAATTCATTTCTTGACAGAAGATACCCTGAAAAGATAGGAAAACATAAATAATTAAGCATCAGAAAGCCATTGAATCAAACTAATACTCCATTTCATCAAAACTGCAAGTATTATTCAATCTAGAGCTCAATTTCAGTGCTGTCAAGTTATCAATGAACGAAAGAAACAAACAGAAAGTGTAATTCCACCCTATATCTTATGATCTGATAAAGGAAAAAACGCAAGAAAAAACTTTTCTCATATCAAGGACCAAAGTCATGAGTTTTAGCAACAAAAACTATGTAATCAACCTAGGCCTCAATTTCATCACCATCAACAATTCCATCGTAAAGGTAAAGTCAACGCTATCAAGTTACCAATTCAGATAAAAAGGCACGAAAGAACACAAAAAAGTGTAACTCTTTCATATATCTTACATAACAGAAAAAGGAAGAAACGCATGATTCGTGAAAAGGTGAAAAATCTAAATTATACTAATTCAAGGATCTAGGTCATGAACTTTAGCATCAAACCCCCATCAAATCAAACTAAGTCATCGATCCACATAAAATGCACACGAAAACGAACGGAATTGCAGAATTCCGTCATATATCTTACATAAACAGAAACTTAAGAAACTAAATCAAAAGCACTTGGAAGAGTAAACACTCAGAATTTTCACTACGCCAAAGGATCGAAATCAGACACGAAATACCATCTGGTTAACCTAGTTCTCAATCTCGCAAAATCCTATCAACAATTCCATCTAAAACTAAAATCAGCCAATCAAGTAATCAATAACATGAAGAAAAACCTAATCATACCTTCGCAGATGCCGATGCGGAAGAATCGAGAGCAGATAAATGAATCCAAACCCCGATGAGTTTGAGATCTTATTAGATAACAAAACAGGTGAACAAATCAACGAGAAAGGGAATGGAGGAGTAGGTGGGACAAACGCACAACGAAAACAGAAGAGGGGTAATATGCCTTCCACACTCCTAAAGGAAGAATCTGAAACTTACGGAACGACGTCGTGTCTTGCACACGCCAAATTTGACAATTATGACTTTTTCCGATCATATTGGTCAGGATTTGGTGGCTGCCACAATTAATATGGAATAACGTGGAGCGGCAAAAATCTTACTCTACCGTCCAGAAAAAAGATTATTTGATTTATTTTAGGGATAATATCACTGTAGCACATGAAATTTTCTTCAATTGGCTAATTTGGTCATTAAAGTTTTTTTTGTACATAAGGCAAGTAAACTCGTGAGTGACCTTTTAATTACACCATTTTATCAAGTTTTAGAAGGTTTCCCGGTTGACCTTTAATATATGTGAATTAATATATATTTTTTGTCTAATCCAATGCCACGTGAGATATGCCACGTCAATTAATGATATAAGAAGCTTAAATCCTATCGTCATCAACTATCGAACTTCAGTCGTCTTCATTAATCAGCTGTAAAAGAAACCGACTTAGGGTTTGTGAAGCATTCCTGTGATCGAGCTGAAGAAACAAAGTAGTCGCAACAATGGCACAATCGGAACCTAATGGATTGTTTGCGATGGTAGAACTGAACTACCAAGGGGTATTTAATCGAAATCCTTTCTCTTACACTGGTGGTGTGAAACCATGTTCACTGATGTTGACTTTTCTTCTATGACTTATTATGAGTTTGTGAACTTCTTCGAACGTTTCATGCATGAAGAGTGTAAAAAGTTTTACTACTGATGTTGACTTTTCTTCTATGACTTATTATGAGTTTGTGAACTTCTTCGAACGTTTCATGCATGAAGAGTGTAAAAAGTTTTACTACTGTGAACCAGACAATTCCCTAATGGAAGGGCTTAATCCCATTTCAGATGATGTGGAATATGCTGCTTTTATTTTTGATGCTTATGGAACAGATGGTGTAATTTCGGTTTATGTGGATCATATCGGGGTTGGTGTTGATGTGGCTTGATGATGAAGATAATGATGATGATGAACATGAGTCTTGTATTGATGGTGAAAATGAAGATAACATATATGAACTTAGGAATGTTGCCTTTGAATTTAATGAGGATGTAGTGCATATGAATAGGACATCAAATGATCCTTTCTTGAGTAAGTTATGTGTTGATGATGAGGATGAAAATAACATTGTAGATGATGACAATGGGAGAGAAGTTGAAGTTAACATACAAACTCATTCCATATTTAATGAGCTATTACACTGGAAAAAACAAAAACCAATTCTAGGGATGAGATTTAAGGGTCCAGGGCAAGTAAAATCAATGTTGTGTAACTATGTTGTAGCTAATGGATATCAATTGTGTTTTGAAAAAAATGATAGGACAAGACTTTTGGTGAGGTGTAGCAAGGGTGCTTGCACATTTAGATTATGGGCTTCCTGGATGAGTGATGAAGAGAGTTTCCAAATCAAGTCACTAAAAGCTTATCATAGTTGTGCTAGGAACTTCAAGTTTGGATCATTGGTGACATATGCATGGATTGGGAGTCACTATACCAAAGAGATTGTACAAAGTCAGAAAATAAGTGTAAGGAAGCTTAGGTTGAAGGTAATGGCCAAGTTTGGTATCCAAGTTAGTATGGGGCAATGTAGAAGAGCAAAAAAGTATGCACTGAAACTTGTTGAAGGTAGCCTTGTTGAACATTATGGTAAGCTATGGTCATATGGTCATGAGATTTTAAGGACAAATCCTGGGTCAACTGTGAAACTAGATATGGAGGATGGTCCAGATGGAAAGAAATATTTTAGCAAGTTCTATTGTTGTTTTCAAGGAGTTAAACAAGGTTGGATTGAAGGGTGTAGAAGGATAATTGGTCTTGATGGATGTTTTCTTAAAGGTGTTTGTAAGGGGGAATTGCTTTGTGCTATTGGGAGGGATGCAAATGACAAGATATATCCTATTGCTTGGGCAGTGGTTAATGTGGAGAACAAGCAGAATTGGAAGTGGTTTTTAGAGCTTCTCATTGATGATCTAAACTTGAATTTAGGCAATGGTTTCAGTTTAATGTCAGACCAACATAAGGTTAGTATTTTACATAGTAATGCATTTATATTTATTTTACACTATCTGAATTAAACCTTTGTACTACTACAGGGTTTGATAGAGGCTGTTAAAGAGTTGCTGCCATGTGTAGAGCACAGGCAGTGTGCTAGATATATTTGCCAGAATTTGCAGAAGAGATTCACTGGTGCCATATATCATACCTTGTTTTGGAGAGCATCTAAAGCCACAACTGAGCATGCTTTTAAAGTTGTGATGAAAGAAATTGAGACATTGAACCCAGATGCCCATCAATATCTCATGGAGAAAGATCCTAAAACATGGTCAAGAGCTTTCTTTCAAACTGGAAGGTGTTGTGATGCAGTTGAAAATGGGTTCTCAGAAAGTTTTAATGTTGTAATAGTAGATGCCAGGAAGAAGCCCATAATAACCATGTTAGAGGAGTTAAGATTATACATGATGGACAGAATCTACCACATGAAATTAAAGGGACAACAATGGGGAAATCATATTTGTCCAGAGATAAGGGATAAGGTGAATTTGCTTAAAAAAGCTCAAAGGCATTATCAGGTACTACCAAGTGGATTAAACCAGTTTGAGGTAAGGGGAACAACATATGCATATGAGGTGGACTTAGAAAGGAAAACATGTTCATATAGGTTGTGGCAATTGAATGGATATGGATGTGCTCATTCTGTAGATAGCATATCCTTTCTTAATATGGATGTAGAAGCCTATGTAGACAACATGTTTAGCACAACCACATTTAGGAAGGCATACAATTACAGAATTGCTCCCATGAATAGCAGTGACATGTGGCCAGAGACAAACTATACTCCACCATTGCCTCCTATTAATAGAAGGATGCCTGGTAGGCCAGCTACTAAGAGGAAGAAATCCACTACAGAGAATACAGGAACACAGGGTTTCTAAGGCTGGAAAGAAAATCAGATGTAGTATTTTCAAGGAGATAGGTCACAACAAGGCCACTTGTCCACAGAGAAGGCCCCAAAAGTTAAATATGAAGAAACATAAGAGACAAAAAGTTTGTGTGAAGCAAAATGCAGGACAGGTAAAACCATTTAAAATTTAAATTTATTTACATATGATTTGTTACTAACATAATTATATCATGCCATATAGGGTAGTACAAGTGAACCACAACAACATCAAGAGGTTGAAATGACTCCAATTGAGATGGATACTACTCAAAATGATATGCAAGTTACTCATACTGATGTTGAATCCAGTAGTGCAGGGGATTTTAGTCATTATATGCAATTTACTCCACCTAGATGTTATGAAGGTGATGAGGGTGTTGTGGGTGAGGAAGCTGATGTGGTTGAGGAAGCTGTTGTGGTTGAGGAAGCTGTTCAAGATAAGGAGGCTGAAGAGGTTGATCCTGTTATCCAAGTTGATAATGTTAATGTTCATGAGGTTGATGAGGTTGATCCTGTTATCCAAGTTGATAATGTTAATGTTCAGGAGGTTGCTCCTGTTATCCAGGTTCAGCATGTAAGTGTTAGGCCAATTTCAGAGATTTTGAAGAGGATAAGCAGAAGAAAGTCAGAGAGAATATTGAAGCTGAAATTAGGCAAAACAATTGGTGGTGTTGATGATCCAGGAAATTCGAAGGGAAAAGCTCTTGTAATTGATTAGTGTTTATTGTAATTTGGATTTAAAGTTTATGTAATAAGATGATGGTAATTTGGATTTAAAGTTTATGTAATAGGATGATGGTAATTTATATTTAAAGTTTATGTAATAGGATGATGGTAATTTATATTTAAGTATATATGAAAGAAAATGGTATTTTGGTCATTTAAGTATGTATGAAAGAAAAGGGTATTTTGGTCATTTAAGTATGTATGATAGAAAAGGGTATTTTGGTCATTTATTTATGTATGACAGAAAAGGGTATGTTGGTCATTTATTTATGTATGACAGAAAAGGGTATGTTGGTCATTTATTTATGTATGACATGAAGTATAAAAGTATGTTGCCTTTTTAAGTAAAATCATGACATTTGGCTTTGAATATTTATGCATGGAAAAAATTGGAATAATCTGCATGCATGGGAATGTTTTATATGGTCCCGGATATGGTTCTATAATGGCTTCACAGGTCCCATTTTTTCATTATTAAAACACCCACTAACTACAAATGGTCCCCATACACATAGTGTACTTCCACATGGACCATTTCCTCATTTGTTCCCAAATTTAAAACATGCACAACAACCAATCTAATTAAATATATTTATTGGGAATACAGGCCATGCATATGTTTGATTAACATCAACATCTGATTATACAAAATGCCCTACAATTGGGACTTTGAATATTTTTTTACATTACTTATCATATTCCCTTTCATTAGGGACTTACCACCTTACAACATCAACACATCAAGGTTTATAACCCCTACTTATAACTAAAAGTAGCTTCAATACATACAAAATGCCCATCATTACTGACTTTCTAGTCTGTCTTTACAAAAAATACAAGGGATCCCAAAAAACAAAAGCTTACACTAACCAACCTAACTAACTACAATCACCCCCTAACTTCAAAACACATAGGGCCAAGCAAGCAAACAACAGGGCAACTATCATCCTGTACCTGCCTATTGCCTTCCTTGCATCATGAACTTCTTTCTCACTCTTTGCCACCTTATACTGCTCCTGTGACAGCAAAAACTCCACTTCAGCAATCCTTCTCCTCAAATTGTTCATCTCTGACAGTTCCTCTTTGGCATCCAGTTTCCGCTTCAGAGAATATAGCAGGTTTTTGTAGTACCCGTCTGCCTGTTCTTCATCTTTCCATTCAAAGAAGCTACATTTCCTCAACCTAGTCTATAAAAAGCCAATAAAATTAGGGTTTGATTGACAATCACAAATAAACTACCTTTAATGTACCAACGAAATGGGTTTTATTCACAGTGATCGTCAAGAAGCAAATAAAATTAGGGTTTTTAACAGATGAAACAAAATACAAATATACCATTATCGTCTTTACAGAAAGAAACAACACATCAAACCATAAAATACTAACTTATCAAAATCAGGAGAATCGGGACCTACCATACTGTTTTGACAATTCCAGAATCGCCTCCCAGGGTTTGTTATCTTCCAACAGGTTCGTTCTTTAGCTAGAACGACACAATCACAAACCTTTACCCCTTCTTGCGACTGAACATGAGTGACTTGTAGCTGATTCCTTGACGTCGATGAGCTCGAAGACATTCTTCTTCACGACGAAAATAGTCGGGGAGGGGGAAGTCTTTGACTTTTCAGAGAAGGGTAAGTAAAGATTTAATGGAGGTCCGAATGAGGGTTTGAATTAATAAGCCTATATCGACAACTGGACTTCTTCGACACATAAGCTTCCCACGTAAGCTTATTGGACACATCAGCGTGCCACATAAGCATTGTAACCGGGAAACCTTCTAAAACTTGATAAAATGGTGTAATTAAAAGGTCACTTACGAGTTTACTGGCCTTATGTACCAAAACAAAACTTTAAGGACCAAATTAGCCAATTGAAGAAAGTTCCATGTGCTACAGTGACATTATCCCTTTATTTTATTAAAATTAAAAATATGAATACATAATTTTAGAAAATATAATTATCCTTTTTTTACTCATCGATCTAATCATATAAAATAATAACATTTAGAATCCATTAGTTTTTTTTAATATTTTTTTTTATGTTGACATTTGATTTGATTTAACGAATATAAAGATGAATAGAAATAAAGGCTATGAGAATACTAGATTGACAAAATTATAAAAATTGTTCCTGTAGTTGATAAATTTTTGTAGTTTTGGTCTAAAAAATTTTAATGGTGTACCAATAATCCAAATTAGATTTTTTTATTGTTTTTTATCCCTATTGATTTCAAAAGTCTATTATGCCCTTTAGATTTGTTTTTTATTTTTTTTATTTTTTATTTTTTTATTTTTTTATTTTTTTGTATGTATTTATATTAATATTTTAAGTAACTGAAAATACAAACCCTCTCTCTCTCTCACGCAAACACACACACACAACTATAAAGAACATACATGGTACAAACCCTCTCAATAACACCCACCATCCGACTACCACCATCGTTGTTCGCTGCCACCATCGTCGTTCTCCACCACCAGCTGTCGTCAACTACCTTTATCTCCACTACTTTCGCCCCCACCTCTCCTTCTTGAACCCGGTGGCCCTCCACCACCACCATTCGTCGAGCTCTGTCATTTTCTCGCCATCCACGAATCCACGAAGAACTGAGTTTGAATCTTGTCCCCGACTAAATCGAACAAACGACGGGTTTAAAGAACAAATCGACGGCGCTAGGGTTTTGGAAATCTCCATCGATGACTATGCCCACTAGGTACCATCACATCCCTGTGGAGAAACCTAACTAGAGCTCGAACCAAAACCCCCACCCAGATGAGAAGGGTGACGGCGCTAGGGTTTCAGAAAATAAGAATGATGGCAACGCTAGGAAATCTAAAAACGCTTACGAAGGTGGTCATGACGGATGAAAACCCACAACAATGAAAGACAAAGGCATCGTAACCATGAAATCTGAGACAAATCCATGGCTTTTATCCTGACGCTAAATAGCCATGGGTTTCGGCGACTCTAGTGGTTAGATGAGACTGCCCTTCTCTACTTTGCTTGGCTAACCCGAAATATGTAACTCGATGTAACACTGCATTTTCAGGTTTTTCCCTTTTAAACCCTTCATTTAAAATCTTCACAAAATGGTCCCTAGCCGAGTACGTTGGGCGTACTCTATGAGTACATTGGGCGTACTAGCTCATAAGAAGGTCGCGGAGGCGCCCACGTACGCGAGGCATACATAGGAGTACGTCGGACCTACGCTCGGCTGGGACAAACCTTAATTTTTAGGGTTTGTGCCTTATTTAAACACCTTAAGTTGCCTTGGGAGCTTTTTATGACCAGCCTCCACCTCTCTAAACCCTAAGAACGAAACCCTAGCCTTTATTTGAGTGTTTGTGAGCCATTATTGTAATCTTGTGGTGTTTTTGGATCCTTTGAAGGAGGTAAAGCTTGGTGTTGAAGCTTTGGTGGACTTAGATCTTGAAGATCCAGAATCTTCATCAACTTTGCAAGCTATTTGAGGTATAAAGCGCTTAACTTGATGGATCATTTGGTTAGATCTAGTTAGAGCTTGTTTTTATGCTTTTTATGGTCCTTTAAGCCATGCTTGATAGTATGAGTTACTCCAGAAGCTAGGGATGGTAGATCTTGGTATTTTTGAGGTCCCTTGTTCATAAAAATGCAATCTTAATGAGTCATCTTGGTCCATGCATGAGTTAGAGTTATTATTATGGTTCTTTTTGAGTTTTGGGGCCCATTAAGTCATGAAAGAGTGTAAAGTTGCCAACTTTACGTGTTAAGACATCATTTACGATCAGATCTAAGAATTGTACATAGTGGATTAACAAATTAAGCTCTTAATGGTGAAGTTGTGCATGTTGTGAGTACGTGGGGCGTACCAAGCTCATACTGGCCAAAGGAGGCGTACATTGAGCGTAAGTCTGAGTACGTCTGGCGTACTCAGCAGTAGGGATGAGATTTAGAACCGGAAAACCAGACCGGAACTGGAACCGTTAGAACTGGAATATATAGAAACGGTTCCGGTTCCAGGTTTAAAAATTGGCTTTATCCGGGTTCCGGGTAATCAGGGTTTCGGTCCATCGGGTCCGGGTAAACCAGGTCTAAAAACCGGAACCAGTGTTAGGAACCGGAACCACTTTTAGGGCCGGAACCGCTTTTTATGAAACATTTAAAAGATGCATATCTCATTCGTTTCAACTCCGATTGACATGCGGTTTTTCCAACGTGTAGTTTAGAGTTTGTACATGATTTTAGACTATAAATTTTCCATTTTTAGTTTTATATTCATTGACTTACATTCCCCCAAAGTCGAGATATCTAAGCTGAAAATTTTTAGTTTTTCAGTTTTTTTGTATTTTGTGAAAATTTTAAAACATGCATATCTAATTCGTTTGAAGTCGGATTGACATGTGATTTTTTTCCAAATTGTAGTTTATAGTTTGTACATGAGTTTAGACTATAACTTTGTCATTTTTGGTTTAATATTCAATGATTTACAGTCCCCCGAAGTCGGGATATCAAAACTGAAAATTTTCAACTTTTCAGCTATTTGTTTTTGTACTTTGTATTATGTGAAAATGTTAACACATGCATATCTCATTCGTTTAAAGTCATATTGACATGCGATTTTTTCCAGAGTGTAGTTTAGAGTTTGTACATGATATTAGGCTATAATTTTGTCAATTTTGGTTTCATATTCAATGAGTTACAGACCCCGAAAGTCGGGATATGAATATGAAAATTTTCAAAGTTCAACACATTAAGTAGTAGGTAATTACTAAAAAATTCCGGTTTTTTCCGGTTCTAAACCTACTTTATCCGGTTCCAACCTACCCACTTTGACATTTCCGGGTTTTCTGGGTCTAGACCCACTTTACCCGGTACCGTACCCGGAACCAAACCGGAACCGGTTCCTATATACCGGTCCGGTTTCCGGTTCTACAAAATCCCGTTAACCGGTTTCGACTTTTCCGGGTCTGGGTCCATCCGGTCCGGGTTTGGACCCACTCTCATCCCTAC